AGCTTCCAGTTAACAAGTGGTGCGTGACGAATAAAAAACCATTGAGCACCAGTCTCGCTTGCTGATAGTGGAGGGTCAGGAACCTATGTATACATATATTTCTTATTGAATATGTTCATTTCTGGGTTATTACATGGACAATACCAGAAGAAATAGTAAGTGGAAGAGAAATAGCCATCAGCCCTCTAGGAACTGCCATCAGCTTCCAGTTAACAAGTGGTGCGTGACGAATAAAAAACCATTGAGCACCAGTCTCGCTTGCTGATAGTGGAGGGTCAGGAACCTATGTATACATATATTTCTTATTGAATATGTTCATTTCTGGGAGCAGTAGGTGGAGGCTTGTGTTTTGTTTGGTTGACTGAGTGGGCTTCGTTGCCGTACAACCAAAGTTTTGGCAAGGCCAGCTACAGCTCTGCAGGTGGATGTAAGCAACGGGCGATACAGTCCCCGGGCTAGTCCATCTGTGTTTTTCTACGAATCTTTTCAGAAGGCGAGAGGCCAGTTTTCTCTTTTTTAATTTTCTGCATTATCTGTAGCTGTAACTTGCCAATTAAATGACACAACCGGGACTAGACCAGCCAAGCAGCAACAAACAGGAAACAACAGTGCTCTCCTGTAGATTACCTGAATTAAAGGCCACGCTCAGAAACGCCGGCGATAGGTGAAGCACCCGTGCGGTGGCGGGTATACGAACACCATGGTGCAACGCAACAAGGCGACCCACTCTGCAGGACGAACCGACCATTACACGAGGTTTCCATCCGTCGTCCATGCTGTCAGATTTGCGAGTTGGTATGCCACCAAGCAATCATAATTGCAGCTTGTGCATTCGTAAAAAAACCCAGCCACCAGAAATTTTATCCGGTCGATGGAAAGCCAGGCAAGTAAAACAGCTCAGTCATTTCGAACAAGCAAACGAAAACAGCTGCTTGAAAAGTCAGGTCACGGCTACCATCACAAAAACAATAACGGGAAAATACTTTTGCGTGCCTTTGCACGACACATAAACTGCTGTTTAAGAACCGTATACAAGCGGTTGAGTGAAGCATACGTTCCGGGATTGTTCCTGTAGACATCTGTAGGTTGTAGTGGATCACTAGGAGGGAGGGTCGCCCTGTTACGTTGCAACATGGTGTTTTCGTATACCCGCCACCCCTCCAGTAGCACGGGCGCATCGCCCATCGCCGTTGGTTCTGAGTCTGGCCTTTAAATTCAGGAAATCAAAAAAGTACTGCCGACTTCCGTTCGTTGCTGCTAGTGTTGGGCTGGACTCTCATCTGTAAAAAAAGGAAAGAAAAATAAAAGATCACTTGGGATAGCCTGAAAATACTCTGCAATGCCCATGACCTACATCAGCGAGCGTAGTTGTATCTGCTTTCATCAGGACAGAGGCTACACCGCACCAAAGCCCATTCCGTCATCCAAACGGAGAATACATCTACTC